CATAATTTTTTTTTGTCCAATGGGGCCTAACATTGCAAATCCAAGCCCGTTTTTGCAGGCTTATAGACTTACACATACTCACCTTATAAATGGGTCAGACTTGCCCATGGACTAACCGACATATTATAGCAAATCCAAGCCGTTTTTACGGGGTTATAAACTTGTACGTACCCACCTTATACGGGTTGGGCTTGCCCACGGACTATCAAGCTTATTTTTTACATATGAAAAACAAAACTTATATAAATCATAATGTAACATCTTGATTTTTGTCCCAGTTGAAGAAAATGTTGAACCGAGTAATCTAGTAAAGAAAACCTAATTATGGAGTTTGACTACAATGGCATGAGACAGTGACATCTATCACAATAGCACCCATGGTACTGAAAGTATGGTCATCTCGACTATTGTGCCATGTGGTTACACCTATCATGGTAGCATCAGTGATACTGAGTGTTTAATGGTCCCAATGATTGTGCCATGCAATACTTACAGTGACACATTATAACAAATGGATCTTTGGTAAGATGAAATGCCAAGTCCTATATGTGTTTCACCCTTATAATAGTTTAATTAAGTATTTTGAAATTATATTATATTGGCTATCATCTTTTAGGAGAGAAACGGACTCAAACGTGTGAAAAGTAGGAAAAACGATCGGTACAAGGTCATGGGATAGTGCTCGGTGATAGTGTCATTGGTCACAATAGCATGTCAGGGTCTCCAAGGGAGAAAAGAAGCCTCGGTACAATTCGGGAGATTGTGCCCAGGGACAGTGACATGGGCACACTCGCCTGTTACTATCACGGGCGATCTGTAGTGCTTAAAATCGGTTCATTTGGTGATTACTTCTTCAACTTTACTTCTAATTGGACGAGTCAAATTGATATGGATCATTATTTCGAAGCTCTTTCATATGGAAACAATGAGGGTTGGAGTTTCCTCAAATATATGAGGTCCCTGTAAGTCAAAAGGCAAGCTTTTGGGGGAGTTTACACCATATTTAGTTTTTGGTTCGTGAATCTAATTTGGGATTTCTTTTGATGTATGTTGGGTTTGTTTATAACCTAGATGAAGGTCTTATTGATGGATGTTGTGGATCTAAAGTCTCCATTAAAAAAAGCTCAAGATTTGGGGTAAAATCTAAATTTAGCCTAAATCTAGCAAGAGGAGTTGAAATTATTTTGTGAAAACTATGTACATGCCAAAATGTTTATTTTGAAGTATTAATGTGTTTACCTGATATTTATCAAATGTGTTGAGTACTTGACAAAATTGCATATTTGGTAAGTTTGGCTAGCAAATCTTGTGAAATACCTATATTTGAGTTTTTGGATATTTTGATAAATAAATCTCATGAATGTGTATCTTTGGTGATTTATTGTACAAATGAGATTATTTGATATTAATGCATGTTATTGTGTTAAGAGACATTTTGAAGGTTATAAGACATGTTTTCATTTGTAAAATGTTTTGTCTCAACCAATGATGAGTTTCTGAGTGCATCATGCTTTTGGAGAATGTATATGCATAAACGTTGGTTAAATATATTTCATTCCTTTTGATTACTTTTATTTAATAATTGATGGAATTTTTTAGTATTTGACTCGGTTTTGACTTAAATGAGTTTTGGAGACATTTATCCAATTTATTTTGCTTTATGTTGGGCTTTTGAAGTTATATGTGATTATGCATATTTATTTGGAATTACATGTTTTGAGTGGGTTAATCATTCAATTGGAGTCATGTAATTTAGATTGTAATGTCATGGATCCATAGGCGTAGCAGTCAATTTGTTGTTTTATAAATGGGATCATAATCCATATTTTGGGATCGATACCTAACTAAGCGATAGACATAGAGTTGTTGAGCTTGGTATCCATGTGAACAACATATCTGGAGTGGTTGAGCTTGGTATCCATGTGAGCAATAGACCTGGAGTGGTTGAGCTTGGCGCCTAAATAAGTGACATACCTAGTGTGGTTGAACTTGGGGCCTATATGAGCAATAGACATGAAGTTGTTGAGCTTGTTAACTCATTTAACTATAGACCTGAAGTGATTGAACTTAATGAATAAACATATATATGTGGCCTACTTTTGTGTTCCATCTCAATTAATGGAATTGGGTCTCATTTTTCACCAAATGGTGTTATTTTCGGATATAGTACTATCATTGTTTTTAGCATTGTGTTTGAGTATAGAGTATTATTCCAATATTCATGGTTTTTGGTTTTGAACTTTATTTGCCATTTTGGGGCATTCTAAATATTGAAGTTTTTATCCATGATTAAAATAATTGGACCTTAAAACTTAATTTACGTTTCTAGAATGAGTGTTGGGTTTTGACTTTTGAATTTATATTAAATGAGTATTCTGATTTAGAGGTTTCATCATGAAAATAGTGGGCTTTGGACATAAGTTGCTTTTACGATAAATACATTTCATTTGAGAAATCATGTTTTAAATATGCAGTCTTTCAGTTGTACCGTTTTATATTTATGATAAAAAAAAACTGCTTAAATTCACTAGGCATTAAGCAACTTTTTTATTTGTTGGAATGTACATCCGGTCCTCGTTGAAGTTTAATAGTAGCGACAAACTGCCATGAGTTCAGTGCTAGATAGATGCACGAGAAGGATTTAGCTATTCAACGACGTCTTCCACATTTAGAGATAGCGATCACTATTGGGTTTTAGTAACAACTGGTATTGACCTAGTTCTTATGTAAGGCTTAATTTATCCGTTCCTGGTGTTAAATCAAGATATGATATTCGAGTTAATTTAAGTATTGGTTTATAGTAAAAGATTTATTATTTTTATGATGTATTATTTAAAGTTTTAAATTAGTCAATCTTTACAAATTTGAGGGTGTTACAGATAAGCTATGTAAAATCATTTAAATTACATAAGTTCTTTCGAGCATAAAATAAGACTACTTTCATAATATATGGAGTATGAACATTTTCTCTAATGATTTATCAACTTTCAAAGTCCAGGTTTTTTTGATAACAAAATATTTATTCATCTAATATTTCAAGATCGAGATTCTAAACATGCTATATAACATGTCACATATTATATATATCTGGGTGACTCTTGGTACCCATCAGAGAGAATCCAACCCAAAACACTTCTAAATCATTTCAATAAAAAGCAGTAAATTATTCATTCTATATATAATTAATCAACTATAATAATACAACGGGTCGGACAAGCTTGTCCAAATTATTTTTTTCATTGTCCAAGTCCGCACATTAATTTTAGCGGTTCAAACTGAACCCGTCTATTTTTTCGAGCATGATTGTCCAATCCCACTTTTCTAACGAGCTGGGTCTAGCGGGTTGTATCGCCCGTGAATGACTCTTATGTGACATTCCAAAGACCAAAGCAACAAGATGACACAACAACTTCGAATCCAATAAGCTGGTCAAATAACTTTGTATTCAACTTAAAGTTACGGTGGAAGTTACTTGTAGCCCATAACTTAAGGATTATACAACACTCACAAATCCCGTTTCCTATTCCATATGTGATGAGTTGTTTACACATTCCTAAAAACAAAATAGAACCATTAGAGTATCTCCAACAACTTCTTTAAAATAAAAAAACGAGTATTTTAACAACTCTTGTTCTTTTAAATAAAGAATCATGGAGAAAACTCTCTATATAAAAAATTATCTAAAACTTGATGTTGGTAGAGAAAAATGATCATCTTATTCGATTCCACCAATGAGATTGAGTTGTTTTTTACATAAAAAGTGTATTTGGAGGATAAATTAGAGAATGTTATAATAATATAACTTATATTAAAATATCTAAAATTGAGAATGTATTTATGATGAATGTATTTTTTTAGAAATTCTATGTTTTAATTATTTACTAGTGTCTAAGACCGTGCTTTGTACGGTGATCAAAACTCAATTAAAAAAAAATGTAAAAGCCTCGAGCCGAGCGGAAGTGCGACGTGTTTGAAAACTCAGGATCATATTGATATTTATAACGCCTTGTTTAACACCGTAAATCACGATTTGAAGAATATTAACATCAGATGAAAACACGTTATTAAGTCAACACTTTCATTCTATATACACATAAGTGATATAATAAATATTTAAACAACATTTGTTATTATATGTACTGCAGTAATCACAACTCGTCTTAAGAAAAAAATGTAACATTTACATTCATTTTTTTTACCAATTGGTTGGTTTTGATTTCAACCATGGTTAGCTCCATCACGTTTTTTTTTATATATCCATCATCTTCTTCTAAACTATCATATTTCTAAATATGAGATGATAAAAGTCAACCTTATTTCAGATACGAAAAACACTCAAACCTCATATTGCCAAGTTATCATCCTTGGTTTCACTTATATATTGGCATTATAATTTTTATCATTTGGTTGGTTTTGATTCCAACCATGATTATAGATTTCAAAGAAAGTCATCCAAAATAAAACAACCATATGAGGCAAATCCCATTATTTGACATCAAATCCACTTTTTTATACACTTCGATTTATTCAAATATTTGAACTCTTCACCAATGTAGGACAACTAAAATTCAAACACAATTTATCATTTGAGAATAATTAATTCTCATGGTGTCACTTCAAATACCTCAAAGTTTTTTTTTTATATATTATAATATATATAAAGATAAATTTTTTTACCATTTAATTGATTTTAATTCCAAGTATAGTTATAAATTTCAAAGAGGTCGTAAAAAATAAGAGAATCTTATGAGACAAAGCCCATGATTTGATACACAGACATCAAATTCACTTTTCTTATACATATTGTTCTATTCAAATCTTCTAACCCATTGACAACACGAGACAGTTAAAACTCAACCACAATTCATCACTCAATTTCTAATGATACCACCTCATGTTTTGGTCTCATGTATAAAATAAAAAGATAAATATTTTATAAAAATCCTATCACAGATGAAGTCAAAGTCGGCCATCATCGCTGGAAGGCTAGAGAAGATACGATCCGTCATACGAACGGTCATCATAAACCTTCAACGTTTTCTTTTATTTTCTTTCACAATACAATACAGAATTACATACGACTACAGTAGAATACAATACAGGCCGTGCTTCTTTCATCGTCGACCCTCCCGTTCTGTTAACCATCTATATATAATCTAATGATAGAGATGGGAAAACAGGGATAGGGTATCGGTCGTCTGAAGTTGAATAAAGTTAGGTCTAGAAGATTCCTTCCCAGAGCGAGATACAATGGGCCGAAGGAAACTGGAAATGAAGCGAATCGAAGATAAGAGTAGCAGGCAAGTGACGTTTTCCAAGCGGAGATCAGGTTTGAATAAGAAGGCACGGCAGCTTTCCGTTCTCTGCGACGTCGATATCGCCGTCGTCGTTTTCTCCTCCCGTGGAAAGCTGTATGAATACTGCAGCGGCCGTACCGATAGGTCAGTTCGTTTTGTATTTGTTCGGTATGAATTTTCACGTTTTCTATTCTATACATATACTATTCTGTACGATATAACTGCCGTACAAATGAAGATTTCTAGGGCATAAATTAGCAATTTCACGTGAAACCTGCATAATATATAGCAGCGAGATGTTCGTTGGGTCTTAGAATTTGTTTTCTTTAAACAAATCTGTAGCGAGTCAGGATTATTGAGTCGTAGCAGTATTAGGTTTGGGTCGTAATGAGCAATTCTGGCTTGGTGACAGTTGGAATGCTTCCATTTACGTGGGTCTATGGACCTGTGGTGAAATCAGTGTAGCTTGTTGACGGCTCCATGTTGCCTCGATTTTATCTAACAATTGCAATTTCTTCTACTTTTGAGTCAAAACTATTGACACTTATTTTAATTATTTGTAGGGTATACTACTTATAATAGTTATTTCCATTTTGGGACGATAGTTACACATGTTCTTGAATGTTCATTACTACTTACTATTTAGAGTTTCATTGGGTTGAGGCATGTTTTTTACTAGAAATATGAAAAATATTTGATAGCTTACTATAATTTTGAACAAACTCTTGTTAGGCTCTTTTGCTTGTTAGTTGTTGCATTAATCTCTCATGCTAGCTAACATGAAATCATGAGTATGAATATGGATGAAAGATGTATAATTGGTTAGATGAGAGTTGCAAATATTAATGGGAGACAACTTTTACCCTATCATAAATTCAATACAAACTTAGATTGTTTATATGGTTGTTCTCTCTTTTATGTGGTGCACATATTTTGTGTCATGTGGAAAAAGAAAATTATACCCTTTTTGGTTTGAAAACTATTATAATTGTCATGATTCATTCGATTGTTGTATTCTATAGAACTTCTACCAATTAGATTTTAAAAATATAAATCGAAATGTGTTCTTCTAAATATCTCGGTTGTATGGCATGTGTGCAATTATCATTTTATACAACTACTCTTTTATGTTATTAGTTCATGGTATATGAATGCGAAAATGACACTCAATGTGCATGAACGATTTGTTCTCTTACTGTGGTTAATATTTTTGAACTTTGCATGTTGCAGGCATGTTCCATTCCCTAATAGTACACACCTTGTCTGCAACATTCTTGATACTACCCACATTAAGCATGAATCGTGGATAGTAATGCAAAGCCATGAAATTTCACTTCTTGAGATTGTTGTAGGATTTGTTTTATTGTATGATCATGAATACCTTTCTTAGTTACATTTTGTTCAAGTAATGTAACATGTTTAATTTAGGAGTCGAATGCTTGTCTTCCCCACCTTAACCTAGTTTGGGGAGATTTATGTTGGTGGCAATTCTTGGTAGCATCAACAATTGCTTGGTTACATCTAAGAACGGGAGTTCAATGATTCGATTAGGCTCTCTTCAGACATTTATTTAGAACATGCTTTTTTACAAAGCATGTGAGCACATTAGGTGAGCATATACAACCTCTTGAATCACTATAAATTTATTATAAGTACTTGGTTACCGTCATATCAAAAGCAATAACGAACGAAATTAAAAATAATAGCTCTCCATCTCCATTTCCGTTTGATTTTTATTTTACTGAGAAGTAATTGTTTTGGGTTTTTGAGCCTGTATACATGCTATACGATAAGCTCTTTTGTGACTTGGTTGTATGCATGCCATACACAAAGCTCTTGGTTACTTCGTTGTATTTCTAGAGCCTTGAGCTAACAATATTGCTTTACAGTTTGGGACAAATAAAGTCTCCAAGCGAGTTATATCTTTAATTGTGCCCTACAAGTATTTGGTTCTTTTGAATATACTTTTTATCAACATAATATTTGATTGAGGATAAGATTGGAAGTTGCAACAAAAGCAAATGAAATCTTATTTTCCTACTTTGCTTTTGTTTTAGGTATTAATACTAGTACATAATGATTTCAAATTGAAAAAGGATTCTTGAGCTTGTATAGTTGGTACTATAAAGTTCATTGGCAACTTGGTTGCGTCTTTAGAGCTTCATTGGTCTGTAATCCTTTTGTAATAGTTTGTCAACGGGTGAATGGATTCTTCATGAGAGTATCCCTTTTAAACGTGCCTGTAAGTCTTGATTCAAAGCACTAACCATATCAAAGATAAGTAACTATGTCATTCAAAACGAGAGGAGATTTTATGAACTTTGGAAACACCGATCAATGGAGGATTTGTTTTCTAAATTCGTATTGAAGTAAACTACAAATAAAGTTTGAAATTTCAATTGTCCGTATGAAACCCTAAAACACGATTGAAGGCCATTCAAATAGAAAACAAATCTTTGAGAAACTTCATGTCGATTTAATATGGTATTTCGCTCATTAAAAAATCTTAGGGAAGAACCGAATAAAATCTCAATCGCTCCTTTCATCTTGTGCTAGTATAACTTTGTTCTTCTATTGACCAGTAACTCATGCAAAATGCATAACTTTGTTGCTTTTCTTCTTAATGTACCACCTACCTTTACATGTAATGGTGATCTCTTCATGCCAAAACATGAACTTGATATATGTGTACATGATTCAACATACTATATGTACTCGATGAAAACTATATAAGAAATTAAGAATAATGATGTGTAAGGCCAAATAAAAGTAATTGAACAATGTGAATACTTTTATGTGAAGTACAGGTTAAAGTGATGGTGTTCAAACCCCAAAAAATAAGAATATTGATGTCCGAGTCCTAAAAATAATAATAATGAAGCTTAATATTGTTGGACTAAAATAAATCCGAATGCATATCCAAATAAGCTTATCAAAAGTACCTTTTTAAAACCAAATCAACCTACATACAAATAGCGGTTATGCGACTTCTTTTTTGCTTTCAAAATGTCGTAATTTAGAGGCCAAACAGCGCAGTTAATCGTGGGATCGCTATTTGACCACCGCTATTTGTCCCTTGACTGCAAACCATATTAACATTGCTAACTAGGCCTCTATCGCCATGTTATTTGGAGTAGACCTAGATGTAGTTGTAGTGAGTACCTCTTTCATTTGATCGGGAAGTATTTGCTGAAATTGGTAGATAACAAAGTAGGAAGAAACTTATCCTTCAATTTTTACCTTTTCACACATGAACCGATATAACAAAAGTTGGCTAACCACAAGGGTGGTGCCTGATTGGTTTGAGTTTTGACTTCAAATGTCAAAAGTGTCTGGAGGTCCTAGGTTCAAATCCAAGAAGTAACAAAAATCCCCTTGTGGCCACGGAGGTTCAAATGCGGTGACTCCGGGCTACCTGCAAAGCAGGTGGTCGCCCTGGGATTAGTCGGCTCGCATAGCGGGTTGGATATCCAAGTTAATAAAAAAAAGTTGGCCATGGTGTGAATAGTGCAATAATTTGGACGCATGTGTATACACCTCAACAAGATAGTGTCGTTGAGCTTAAAAGTTGTCACATTCTTTAAGTGGCACAAGCGTCTTAGGGGTTGTTTGACAATTGTTGAATGGTTTGGTGCAGAATGATTAAATGGTTAGAATGATTAAGAGGCTCTTATAATATAGTACAAAAGGAAATATAATTGTTTGGTAATTATTCAGAATGATATTAGGGTGCTGAATGGTTAAGGGAGACCCAATAACAAAATCATTTAGGAGGTTTTAGAATTTTTAAGAGGCAGATTTTTTTTTTTACCAAACAAGATTCACCTCTTAGTGATTCAGAGACTATCTCTTCATAGAACTATTAAGAGGTAAATAAACAACCCCTTAGTGATTCAGAGACTATCTCTTCATAGAACTATTAAGAGGTAAATAAACAACCCCTTAGTTAGCAAATTATGTTTCAAAACTTTTATGGGGGAAGGATATTTGGCAACCACGTATCTTATGAATCTTATGCCCAACCAAGTCTTGCATTCTAACTCACCTCAACAAGTTCTCACCATGCTTGCCCTTATTTACTAAATGTTGCTTTGTGGTTGTTGGGAGTCTCACATCAACTACACTTGGACCAATTCTCCTGTATACATGTTCGAACCTCCCATTTCTCTTCAAGGGCTCTTTTGGAGAGTGATTTGGGGGTTCCACATATTCTTACATGGAGAGTGATTTGAGTGATTACGATGGTCTTCCACTTTGTGTCTTTGTCTATTCTTCTTCCGGAGTCACTGCATTTGAACCTCCGTGGCCACAAGGGGATTTTTATTCCTCCTTGGATTTGAACTTGTGACCTCTTGGTACTTTTGACCTATGGAGCCAAACTCAAACCATCCTATTGGTATTTACATATCAAGCGAATCACACTTTGTTGGTGGCAAATTTCTATGTATGTAGTCTACGTAGATGACATCATTTTTACGATTCTATAGAGATAAGCACACTGAACTCCTAGCTACGGGATTAGGAATCAGAGATTTAGGTGTGTTAAAATATTTTTTGGGTATCGGAGTCCCAAAGATCAAATAAGTGCGTAGTAATTTATGAAAGAAGTATGTTTTGGACACACTTTGTTTTGAACCCAATGGGCACATAGATTGGGTGAAGAAATCAAACTCGAGAGAAATGCATTCCCTTTTATGTAGGGAGATATCAACGCTTGGTTGGAAGCTCATTTACCTTGTACATACTCGCCATAACATAGACTATTCAAAACATGGACAATTCTTCTAAAGAATAGTTGTGATACTAAGCGAATATTTAGGTATTTTAAATCGACGGTAGGATCTGTTTCTCTAAATCTTAGGTTCTAAACCACATTCAATTTCAATTCTTTAGAACTCCATCGAATTGGCATCAAAGCTCTATTCAGGGATCAACGCATGAAAAATAGGTTGATGGATTCGAATAAAAACTTTGCGCCGAGTTAGGGAAGTGAAACAAACACGTTGAATGGTTTTGTTGGGATGGACATGCCTTTTTGGATGGAACTATTTGTGAAAAAATCGTTACATCAGGAGGAGGTGGGTCCATAATTGATTGACTAGTCGACAGGAAAGAGACAATGGAAAAGCTTGCCGAGGAGACCACGACGAGAACCGACTTGTGAAGAGCTACAGTGGTTGGAACCGGTTGTTGATATTGCCATAAGGCTAGGAATTGGTGGCCACTTGGTGTTGGCTATACTGTTGCAACAATCAAAATACAAAATAACTGTCGGAATAAATATTTGAAATAGCGGTTATTGCAGTGGTATAGCGGTCCAAAAATAGCAGTTCTTGTAATATCTCTTAGAATTATATAATATATGTGTGTGTGCATACATAAACATATTATATGCATTAATAAAAAGTATACTCTTAACATTAAAACATCAACTTAAACAATTTTCACAAAACAAAATAAGAAAAGTGTTGATAAACGATGACAGAAAACTCGAATAGTGTCGAAGAAGGTTGACTGTTGATGATCATGGAAAGAAATTGAAAACCTAAGATTCTAAGAATTTCTAAACGGGATGCTGGATGATATTCGTTGACTATTAATGGGTTAAAATAAAATAAGGGCCCAAATTAAAATAAAAGCCCCAAAAAAAGACAAAAATGTAAGCATTAGATTCAAATCAACAACTTTCACTTTTAAAATCTTCATAGCCAAATATCTTTTTTCCAGGACAGAAAGAGAGGAGTTCCACTTAACCACARGACAGAGATAACTCCATAGATCCCTCCATGGAAAAAAGTAATAATTGGAGTAGCCCCCTCAGTAGAGGCTTTTTTAGAGAAAAAGTCTATTCATGGATGAATTAGGGGAAAGAGTCTTCACCTTCTTTCATTCATAGACAAGAGAGAGAAAATACCGAGAAAATATTTTTTAAGTAGGAAGAAGAGTTCCTCGATCACCGCTATTGCGCTGCAATTAACAGCATGGGGTGTTGGGGTGAAACAAGTAAGTAAACTTGTTTTTTTAAAATATATAATAATTATATACGGCAAATGCAACAAATGAAGTCAACACACCCTCCTCACTTTGCGGTTGAAAGGCTTCATGAGGGAGAACAAGACTCGGTTTGAACCTATGTTAGGATGGAACATGTTTGAGGAAGAGGAATGGGGTCATCTTTGTGCTTTTGCTTGGAGGTCCTATTAAGGACAACAATGAAAAACGGGGATCCAGGAAGCGGTTGTGATCTATTGGGACAAAAAAGTTTGGATCTTTGCCTTGTTGACAAGTTGTTAGTTGGGAGGGAAGTAATGTTGTGTTGGTTCAACGCATGGTTCTAAGCTCATGCTAGGGGGTATATATCTATATACCAACCATATTAGGAACAATAGCAACTATTTTATTACCATATAATCCATATGGTAACCATATTAGCAAAATGATGCAACTACCATATTGGAAATGTTTTATCTGGAGTTTAGAGTGGAAAGAGACCATGCTTGATTTGATTCCTATTCTTGGGAGAGATGTGGTCATCTCAAAGCAGATCATTATTGTATTTTGTTTACGGTGGTTAGGTTTCAACAAATTATCTTGCATATTTGATACTCTGATTAAATCTGAAGTATGAATGTTTTTGTTTCATAGAAGCAAAAAATTTGCATATTGTATTTTCAGCCATTACCTTGGGGTAAACTGACAACCACCTAGTAGTTTAAGCAAATAATATGGTTTCGTGGTCTTGTTTTGATACATATTATGGTTTTGTGTATTGTTTTTATACATATTGTTTTTGCCTAGGGGTAAACTAACAGCCATTCCCTTGTAAAATACAATATGGTGGTTAGTTTCCATAGAAGCAATATGGTTTTGTTTTATGGTTGTTGGTTTACCCCATAGCATAGCAGTGGCTGAAAAATTATTCTGTGAAAGCACAATAATTGTATCATCATATTAATATTATCGTTTGCACCAACATACAATGCTACATAGATGATACAGCCAAATGCAAGACACTGAGATTTGCTTCAAGAATTCAACATGATAGATATTACTACTTTTAGTATAACTATTTTAATTTTCTATACTTTACATTATTATTATTGTCGATCTGTTCAGTATAATTTGTTTTTATTATATGTGTTTACATCTTAGTCTTTAAACTAGTTTGACCCTAAACCTGGTAGAGGTTTAAGGTCATTTCCTTTATTTTTATAGTTTCGATGCCAGATTTGTTTTGCTCTAATAAAGACACACTTGGTGATCCTTTGTGTACACATTGTTCTTGTAATATAACTGAAATGAACTATAAAAATAGCCTCTGAAGTCGCCTCTTTGAAATTGAATGAGATAGATCGATGTTTCCATTAAACCTCAATTTCTTCATAACCTGGAACCTGCTTGCCTGCAGTCTCTCCCTCTCTTAATACTCCAATGTAGAATTTTAATAGAAGTAGTCAAGTAGGTTAGAGTGGGGTTTGTTCTTTCTAGGGATTTACACTTGATGAGCCAAGCTTTTGTTTAGGCTAATCTTATTCTTAATTGAAGTCGGTCTTCTTTCATCTATGTTAGTTTGAAAGAAGAATGTTTTGATATTTCTGATTTGAAGTTGTAATCTGATCATTGGATTTAGATGCTCTCTAACTATCTATGGTTCAGTGTGGGGCTTATTCTTTCTAGGTATCAGAAAAGCTGTCTTCAAGCGGAAGAGAGGACCACCCGAGAGGGGGGTAGCAGCGATACAGTAAGTAATTACTTTTTGAAGAATTTACCAACCATTGCTATGCTACTGATGTACATATTTTACCACCAATAATTACATGTGTAATCACGATTTTATCTTTTTCCATTAAATTTCCCTTCTCACAGGGATTTCGCAACCAGTGCAGTAGATTTCAGACATGCAAAGAGCTTCTACAGTCCGTGGAAAGGTAAAACAAAACTGTTGACTTAACTGTATGTATTTGACATTTGGTCAACCAAACAGTGCAAATATTAGGTAGTGCACTCAAATATATGAGCATGGGTATCAATTCAGGGAGGACTAATGAGTTGATGATAATGCCATGCCTTGAACAGGCTTGTTGAAGAACCGTGTGATTTATCTGTGCCTGACATGACACAGTTAGAGGAGGAAATTAGTGCTGCTCTTATGCATATACGATCAAGAAAGGTGACAGCCTCCTTTTCCACCTAATCTCTCCTCTAGTTTGTTCTATGCTTCAGTTGTCAATTCTATTAATTGTACTTTTATTTGTACTTCTCGTTTCATATCAACATGTTTTCGTGTCTTACTGCTATTTTTTTTTCATATTGATGGAATTAGAATTTCATCAAAGTTGTTAAGGCTCAAGGCGCACTTTGGTGCTAAGGGGTCCGGGGCCTATGCGCAAGCGTGAAGCGCGCGCCTCAAGAATGCGAGGCACATCTCATTAGAATATATTATATATATATATACCCGCACACACAAACAAACAGTTAAACACAACTCAAATATTCGGCAAGTACAAGCCTCCAATGCAGCAACCAGCAGTACTTTCATAGAGGCAGAAGGGAGAAGGATTTAAAGCATGAGCCGTGAGGGAGAAGTTTTAAGGTCCGTCTACTTGCAGAGAAGGAGGCTTGAGGTTCTAAGAACTGGGTATTTAATACTAGGGTTTGACTTATATTATCTATTTCATAACGCTTTGTTTAAGAAGTCTAGCAGATGAAAAGATGAGAAAACTTGTTTATTATTAGGGTTTGACTTGATATTTAATAACTCTTTATTAGGCGTGCCTAGGCCCACAAAGCGCCTCAGCCAAGTTGCAGGGCCTTATTGAGCCTCGTGAATACGCCTAGCCTCGGCTTTATAAAAGCCCAAGACCTTGAGCCTTATGAGCCTAGATGCTCTTTAACAACTATGGGTTCCACAGCTAAAGATGGCTTCAACTTTCACTTCACTCAGGTGATCAGTAATTTAATTAACTTGATGTGTGAAGGAATAAAGATTAGATCACTAAGCTGAGGAACATGATATGAATGAGGCTGATGTAAGTTTTTTAGATATCAAGATGAAGGCACACAATTATTGGAACACACAGTTTGCTGTTCCAGAGTGTTTTTTGTGCATTAGTGACTTTGTAGCTTTTTTTTACTCCAAGGAGTATTCTGCTTTCAGAGAAAGGCTCCACGGTTGCATGATTTTTTTTTATCCAATCGTTTGCGTTAATAGTGTGAAGTTGCCGAACTAGAATGATTGCTTATTCCCATGTGTTTGTCCAACAATTCAAATGAACAATCAATGCTGAAACAGCAGCAACCGTCTGCACAAGAATTATTTATTGGGGCAGATTCAGTGGGACTCGGGACAGGAAGAGCCTCTAGAATAACTAATGAGTACTTATTAGTGAGCTGTGAGTTCGTGATAATAGATGGGAACTACTATTGAATTATGTATGGGAAAAAATATCCAAGCTAGCAGTCTTCAGCTATGATAAAACACTAGTTATAGAAGATGCAATGATACAAGAGGCTAAAAGAGGGTTTCGTTTCACATAGACTAAAAGAGGAAAGCGGCAAGGCATTGTGCCATTGATGATCAACAGCATAACATGGAACAAGTACATGCTGCTTTGGAAGGAAGGCATGTGTGTCAGTCCTGATCTTTACACTATTTACGGAAGTCAAACTATTTAGTGGAGTCAATTTTTTGGTTGGCAAATGTTGGCTTAGAGGTCAACCCACACAATGAAGTTAGAGCCTCGCCTTTCAGCTCACCTACCATGTGCTACGAATGAGATACCAAATATGTAGTAACCCTGACACTAGCACTAGGTATTAATAAACAAACCTTGGAAGCAATCGGTGCACAACCACCATTCACAAAAAGCTATGGGAGAGAACGCCATAGCAGTGTGTTCTTTGTAAGTTTCTAGCCGTAGATGCTTGATCTTTTTGGCTTTTTGGTGCAGTTACTTACTTTTGTTACTCATACATGCATAATAATGAGCATTGCACATAGCTGGTCTATGTAAGTGACCATCATATATCAAGTTTCATCTTTCACTGGTCCTATCGGCAACATATTTTCTGTAGTTAAGAGCATTAATCATGAAGGCTTATCGAGCTCTAATTATCTGAAGAAAAATGACTTTGTCATGAAGATAACACTTTGCAGAGCTTAATTTAATTATAGTGGTTATTGGGGGCCAAGTAAGTGATCGCTCAACAAAAAAAAAAAACTAAAAGTGAATTGGTACCGTGCCGTCTATGCTAAGGAGAATATTTCACCACTAGATAATTGTTTTCTGAGTATGGTTTTTACCTCCTCATTCCTCGTGCATGGCATCTGCATCTAGGCGTGTCATGCAATAAGAAGTTTATTCCTCTTACTTGGTACTTTGTGGATTGATTCCGCTTGTAGAGACATTGTTTTCACACCCATTCATATGGTCTTGTGATCGGACTTGCATGACTTGTTTGTCTTGGCGAGCAATGTTCTTGTTGCAAGAAGGCCACTTAGATGCTCTTTGAGAGTTGTGCTAGTCCCACCTGTCTAAAACTTAGTTTGCTTCATACTACAAACACACCTGAAACTCCCAAATCAAGATGTGATTGGTTTGTTCATTACTTATATAACACACGAAAGCGAAAGCTATTTGAGGCATCTCCAGATATGACCATAGACATGAATCCTTACATAACTCGATTTGCCATGCAAGAAGATGTGGCATCAACAGTCATATACACCAGTACACCACTAGAAAAATTGATCCATCACACGGTAAAACATGTTTTAAAACTGTTCCAGTATGAAGACCTTTGGAATCCAGTAACAGAGAAATTCAGCAAGGAGTGGAGTTCTTTGAAATATGAACTACATACCTTCTGAGAGATTCCAAATGACTGGCATGGCTATGGGGTAAAATCTCCATATGGCCTTCTTCTATCTTAAGAAGGAAAGGATTGGGGGGGGGGTAGATCATTTGGATTTTGGAACACTATAGTTGTCCGTTCATGTGTAGCTCTCAGCTTTGTTTCTTAATCTGGGGAAAGCTAAAATCCCTCTTCATCATGGATCATGATATTGTTGGAGTTACGGAGAAATCTCTTTACCTGCACTTGCAATGGATAAGTTAGCTTACTTGTACTCGGTGTCTAACATGGCATCACAAGTAATAACATGCGCGATTTGGGTAGTGGCTTATTGTTTTGGTTTATTGCAATTATGTTTTAGATTTCTTCTTTGATGATTGAGATTTAATGGTTTGGATATTAGGTCTGAAATTTGACAATGATTCTGGTTTTGTGCAGACACAATTGATGATGAAGTACATATCGACTCTTCATGAAAAGGTATGCCTGTATCCTATTTTAATTTCTAACTATTTTTTTAATTGGAAACCCTGAGGTCCGTTAGAAGTTCATATGTAGTCAAATAGATGAAATGGGATTCTTTCACTAGTAAGCTAAATTTTACGAATGTTATTGATTGTTTGTATGTACCTTAGATGAAAGCTTTTCTCGATTGTTAATTTGTAGTTTATGGTTAGTCTGGACACTGCTGACCGTTTGAGGGTTTGTAGTTACCTGTGACTTCTTTAACTGTAAGCTTCCATATTACAAAAAGCGTGGATGTAGAACACTGAATCAAACCAAACCAAACCAAACCAAACCAAAACAAACCCAGTATATTCTACTCAAAAGTTGAGTTCGGGTTGGGGATGATGTAAGGGGACCTGTCTTCTAACCCAAAGGGTAGGGTGGTTGCTTTTGTGGTTGAAAAGGCAAAATGAAAAAAGGGCTAGTAAATGATGTAAGGAGACCTGTCTCCCATAGGACTATTAACTCTCTACGGTTGTCACGCCCTCTTCGGCATGCCGCTTCTTTTCGCCCCTCTTTGGAACATCTCAGTAAATTATGCACACTTTTTCTTAGGGCCTAATCGCATCACAAGAGCTATGTTGACTGTTTAATTAAGGCAATTGAACATTGCTGGAATGAAAGAGAAGCTTTTTTTGTCTAATGTGCTATTTCAATATGATGGTGACACTATATTGGAGAACATTTGTACAAAGGGTTCAACCAAGATATTCTAGGCAACGAAAATAATCGATCTTTATGGTTGTTCATTGATAGCAGAACTAATCTGACACCACTATTGTTACCAAGCTTAACATCAACTCTTAGGTATACATGAAAATAATGAACTGGTCACTCTTAGTCAGACAGGTTATGAACAAACGTGTTCGTGGAACCGAGGTGTGGTTAATGTGGTGCTTTTGTGCTGTGTACTTGAGCCAATTGGATCGTTTAAGATTGCCCACTTATAGCTAAAGTTCATATACCAAATTACCAATCAGTTGAAGTGTAGTTGGCAACATGCCACCTATGCTGATACTATTTCTCTACCAACAGGTTCAAGTATACATTGCCCTGTTTCATCTACACAGATGGTGTTGGTCCCCAACGTTCTAATCTAGAGATGCAGGGCTTTTGGGCCAGGATATTACCATAACCCCATCAAAGGAGACTCCATAATCAACACTCGCAGACAATATAGTATGTAAGATATAGCTCGTGCATCTTAGGCTTAACAAGATGGGGTTTTCTTTTATCCAAACATAGTTCTCTTCTACCTTTTGATAATGCTCAAAGATGCATGGATAAAAAGTAGTTATACTATACGAAATTTCGTACTTGTATTGGATCCTCTCTATCTTCTAATCCAGCTTGTGTAGGTAGATGGTATCTGGTAGGGCCGAAAGTAATACACTGGGACGGAGGGATCTCAAAAGTCGAAAAATCTATCTTAACGGGATAAGTTACAATTGTTGAAGGTATTATCAGAGACAAGAGAAATTGGTGCTCTTCTATCAGATCTATGGCTTTTTACTTGAGAATAAGAAAGAATGATGTGATCTACCTTGCAGTTTAGATAAGCTGGAGAACGAGTTGTATTATCTTTTAGATGGAAATGTGGTAATGAGCTAATCAAACCATTTTTCATTCTGCATTCCTCTCAGTTCCTACTCTCAAGGGTTGATGAGAGCTATTCTGACTAGAAAAACCAAACCAAATTTGCCCAATATATCCCTCCAGTAGGATGTGATGTCCACCTGTTTTGAGAAAGGCTTTTATGAAAGAGGACGCGATAACAATAGGAATTGCCGAGACGTCAAATCGTGGTTTGATCTACTTGATGAGTGGGCCAGATCATGGTTGATTCTGGTGTTTGGTCCAAATAAACAGCACATTCTGAACCGTCAAACACAGGGTTACTCCATCTGCACCTACTGCAATTTTAACACTGCTCGCCATGCACCTGCAAGGTCGGGATTTTAATTTCATCTTTTCTATGTAGGAATATGATATTCTAGCTGTATGGAGCAAGTTTCTACTATCAAACTTCTCACCAATCTTGACAACCAATAACCTTGTTTTATGATGAATCATTTATATTCTACTCTGTTGACATGCCAGATAAATCGTGAAATAATTTAAAGTAATGACAAAGGTAATCCTCAAGAACTAGTAGAATGACAGCAAGAACGTGCCATCTGGGAAGTACAGTGAGGAAAAGCTGTTAAACCTGTGATTAACCTGTATGGCAAAGTGATCCATTTGGTCTATATTTCTTGGCCAAATAGAGAATGATTAATCAGATTTACCAGTAGGCTTTCAGGAAAGTAAGGACTATTTATTGCCGCATCAAGGAAAGATGAAATATTTTCTGCATTTGGTCCATTGGATAGTCGGTGCAAGGCCAGAAATTGGGGGATAGCAGCTCCCTCTCCCACAAGCACCCCTCTCTGGTGTGGGGACTCGGGGGGTTGTCATCTCTAACTAAACCGCCACTCTGTACACATTCATTGAATTTGCTTGATTCTATTTTTTTAGTCAGCCGGCCTATCTTTGAACCAAAATGCCCAGTCAAATGGAATGGACAATCATGAATTCTATGAGGCTTAAAAGACCTTCACCTTTGAGTTCATAATGAATGAAATGAACCGAAATTTCATCCTAAATCTGAAATACTTAATACAAAAAGTTGCAGGAGAGATGAAACATCTTCCAAACATTAGAGCTTAAATCAGAAAGAAATAGGCTTAGACACACTTCCTATGATTTTAGAAACTGAAATTTCAATATAGAAGGATCTCTGATTGCATTCTGGAAGAAGTAGCCGATTTTTAGTCAAATAGCATGCTACAACTAGCACTTTTTTTTTCTCTGGTAGGCCATTGTTAAAATGCTCATTTTAAATTTGTAGGCAAAGAAAATGTGATCATGATACATTATTCAAATGATGCTAAACGTACTCAGTAAATTCCACGTGAAGTGGGGTCTGGAGAGGGTAAAGTATTAAGGGGGGTCGTTTACCAAACACTGGGTAAGCACTTACTGTATGCTATTTACCTTCCGGGTGAGCATGACAAGAACCGATAATCTTAGCGGTGAGCGGCGGAGAAGACTCTTACCAACAATCCATTTAGATAACTGAGAATGTTACCAAACATGGCAAGTAAGGGTGGTGACGCTTACGTGTGGTAAACGGCCCCTAAGTTTTACTTGTACTCCAATGTGATCAAAATGATGTCCAATGGCCAAATAGAGAACTTCTACAGGTGTGGTGGCTCTTTCATTGACAACACTTGCCTAAAATAAGTAGCTTTTTGAGTATTTGGTACAGACCCACATATAATTTCTTGTATTGTAAATAAAGTCAACATAGTTAACTCTTACAGAGAATCAATTAACAGTATATGAATAATACAAGTACATTAACAAATACTCATACCTTGAAAATGATGATTACTCGCATTCACCTTATACCGTATTTTTGCATACAGACGCAGTTGTGTTAGTTTGTGCCTTTATACGTGAGGCTAATTCATCTGGTTAACTGCAAGGTCGTTGATGGTTTCTTCCCTCCTGTCACCTACCTACCTACCTGTATGAATCTTCTAATATTTCTACTCGTATATATGTATGCAGGAAAGAAAATTAACCGAGGAGACAGAAGAAATAAAGCAGCAGGTAATCATAACTTTGTTGATTACATGAAAGTTTCAAAGATTTTCTGCAGCAGTTTCAATGATCAACTTGCAATAAATAGCAAAACAAAAAACAATCAGATAAATTTTGTCTCGTTTCAATTAGGTTACAAAATCGCTTGCATTTCTTGAAACATATTGATGACTTTTCAAGATTTGAGTGCCAATAATTTGGCATTTTTGTCTTCTCTTTTTCCCCCCAAAAAATGGTATTTTTGTTGTTTAGAAATGAAAAGTGATGTTGCAGGTGGTATTAGCAAAGCAAAATGATGATGGGGGTGGAGGCGTTAACGACCTTGCAACTAACCAGACCAATTCACCCCAACTTTTCACACTTCCTCTCTTTTAAGGACTGACTGGCCGACTGGAAATCAATCTGAGCTTGAGAATGGCTGTGTGTATATAACACACACACACATAGATATAAGCAACTATTAAAAGAAAGAAAGAATTTGTGTGGTGGTGTTTTATGGACTTGGAACCGAGTTTTATCCCAGAAAATTGCTCACCGTGTGATGAAGTTTCTACACTGTGTGTGTGTGTGTGTGTGTACAATTGTTAGCTTTTTCCAGAGGTGCGTGAACTATCTATCATGTTAACTAACAGGACCAGCTTCGCTCTGAAGAAACCTCCACTTTGATTTTTCATTATTTTAATGTCATAATTCCGCTTTCCAAAATTCCTTTAATCCATTCCACAGCTACTAAATTGATTCGCACTTCGTCTTGTAATTTTGCCTTTTCTTTTTATGAACATAGTTTAGTTGGCACTTGCAACTATAAAACCTTTTATGTTCCAAAATCTTCTATTTTTCTCCAAGTCGGTGCCCTGAAATTTATCATATTTTTATTAGGTTAAATTTTATTTTTGAAAAAAATAGCTCACATTAACAAAAGAGGAAAAAGGGAAGAAAAAACCAAGAAATTGAAAGGAAAATGAGTTGGTGTTTTTTTCCACTATAAAAAGAGGGAAAAATATTAAATTTAAAAAAATTAAGAAATGCAAATTACTACACAAAAAGATATGCAAAGATACAATAATAGTTATGAATTATAAATTATAAATCATTGGATAAATCATAAAAATATGTATCTTGTTTTTCTTGTAATTTTAAAGACAAATAAAAAACTTCCGTTCCTCTCGGATGCCAGAAATGGTGAAAGTATATTGCTGGTCACGTGTTGTAGTACGGAGTGGCTGTGTTGTCCAAATCTAATTGGAGATTATAGTCAAGTAGCATGTGCAAGCTGTCATCTCGACTCTATGTCCTCCTATCCTATGTGTACTTGTTTAACCTCAATAATTAACACCATTCCTTTTTACACTTTTTTTTTCTTTTCTTATGTTCTACCTCCATTCAATGGGCCTCTCGATACAATCAAATAGTCTCTACATTCATTGTGCCTCTTGATACAATCAAATAGTCTCCAACGCATCCCTCTCTTTCAAAAAGAATTTGTACATGTCAAGCCTTTTTTAAAGGTTAAACAATTTTTTTAACATTAATAATAATTATAAAATCAAATAATAAAATAAAGTAGAGTTCTTATAAGAACTCTTCATAATGGTTGTTTCTTAAAATGACTTCCTTTTTTATTAATAAGAACCTTTTATTGGAGATGCTGAAGAGAAATTGCATAATTTTAAGTAGGTAACAATGATCAACGAAGGATCGTGTAAGAAAGAGAATAGAAGTTAAGGTGGGAATGATGAAAAGGGATTTGGAATGTTGGTCATTATTAATATCACACTCATTTCATATATTGTGTTTGATACGAGAATTGATTCGGTGCATCTTAGTAGTGTTGATCTTTAATTATCATTGATTCAAGAGTGGAGATCCTCTCTTACTTTTTTCATCATAACTTTCATTTTTACCAAAACCGAACTCGTCAATATTCTCCATATTTAAAAAGGCCACTTTTATGTTCTTTTATGATTACTAATTATTATTAGTTGTTCTCTACAAGAAAAATATTAGTTTTTATATTTGGATACCATCAACCCCAACCAACTTCATATAGAAGTCTCCAGTGACACCAACATGATAAAGCGTTTTTCGGTTCATTCAGCGGCTGAGGCTAACGGAGAAGGAGAGATCCAATTCGAACCCATATTTTCTTTGGACAAATTTGTCTCGTCATTTTTCAATTAAGCTACACGTCATATGCTATTAAGTTCTATATTTATGTAGTATCAAATATCAAAAGTATATTTTATTTGTTTACCTTTTTTTATAAATACGAGTTGAATTGCTTTTGTTCCAATTTTACCAATCACTTAAATTATTGTAACACTAAGAAATACTGTATATTTTAAGAGGCATGAGAATCGGTCATTGATAAGAGTATGGAAATCTATGTGAGATTAAGAGAGAAAATATTCTTAACGTATATCAAAGTATTGATTAGTTAAAGAATATTGTTTTCCTTTTTATCAGTTAATTATTTTTTTTCTTTTGTCCCTTTTGTCCATCACAGGTATTGGTCAGATGATTAGACATTAAGAATAACACGTAAGCGGTGATCAAACCTCTAAACAATCTATTCATCCATCTAACTTGCCAACAAGTAGGTATACTAGATAATCCATAGCTTTCCATCTTAACAAGAGGTATGATGTATGGCATTACTTTTGTCTTATGAATTGGATTAAAGTTCGTAAAACGACATAATAATATATCCTACCTGACATACAAACGGACAATAATTGTCGTAGGTAATCACGTTTAACTTTTTAATCCTTGTTTTTTATGTCTTTATAACACATCGTTAGAGGTACCTAGTCAAAAATTTCTTTTTCTTTAACACAATTACTGTCTACAAAACACAATTTCTATACAACAATTTTACACGGAACTTTCATCATCCCTGTTTTTTCATTGGAACTTTCCTATTTTTATTGTTCTTTTTGTCTTCAAATAAGTAGCCCATAAATCTCAACCCACGACTTTTTTTTATAACCAAAATTTCATTAAAAACAATGAAACCCAAGGTTGTTATTAGTTATTAAATGCATAGGAAGAAAAAAAAATGTTAAATGTATGTATTATTATATACAGTTAAATATATCTTCAGATCTAACAGATCGAGAAATGTCCAAGAAAAACCATCATGTTTTTACACAACTTTATTCAACCCATCAAGAGACAATACATGTCATTAATCTTGTATTTTCGATCCCATTTATACAAAAAATCTTACCAAAAATAATATAAAAATTTTGCTTTTATTTTTTTGCATGCCACAAAATATTTGTTTTCTTACTTTAAATTTCTAAGATATATGGAATTATCATATAATTTTATTATTTTTAGATGTAATTTTGACATATTTATTTAAATGATAACGAATACAAAATTCGGTGATACCTTTCAATGTGTATACAGGTTAATCATTAAATATATTTTTCTTACTTTATGTTGATAACCTTTTCGAAATATATTCTTAGTAATCGACAAGAAAACTTAAAAGTGATAACCCATGTGTTCATGTCGTTGTTTTGCTTGTCAATTCCTATTGAAGTTAATTTCAAGCATGAATGATTTAATAGAAAACTATGCTAATCCAACCAATCTTATCTGTACAATGAAAAGTGTCACTGGTTTATCTCTCCAACGAATCAAATTGGCTAGGGTAGCTTAGTGTGTAAAGCACCGCAATGAACCGTGGTGGGGTTATGGAAGGACAATACAAACGTCGTGCTGCTAGGCGAAGCAGTGGAATTATATTCATTTACTTATAATCTAAAGTTTAATTTAATAAAACCTACCAAATTAAATTATACAAAATATAAGTATTTTTTATGAACTTAAATTTATAATATAAAATTAGGGATCGTTAAACCTTAAATAATAATCGAAAATAAAGGGTTGTTTTCAAATATCTTTAGCTTGTCACCTTCCATCTTTTAGACCGCTTTATGTCCATCAATTGACGTATTGTGGTCAATTTAGTCATTTCATACTAATCCTCTTTTTTCCCAAGAGCATCTATGATGTATGTTTTTTATTTAATAAGAACTTTGATGATTTGTAACAATTACAAGTTATTTGGTTTTATATAATACAATAGACTAAATTTGGTCCCTAAAACAAAATGTCTAGACTTATGGTTCATAACTTTTCATTTTCATAACACCAATGGTCCATCCACTTATCGCCATTAACTAGCAACCTTTATGAAGGACTTATATATTTGAATAACTATCAGGACCAAAAGTATAATCTACTCAAAAAGAAATTCTTATACACATGTTTTTTCTAATTTTTCGTCAGAAAATATTTTATATGTAAAATCACAAATCAAATTCTTCAAATAAAGTGCATATCAAATATAAATCTTTATGTTCAAATCGATAAGTCTTTCATAAAAATTACTAACTGACGTGACGTGGTTAAGTGAAAGGACCATAAGTTTTATTAAAAAAAATTAAATCTGAAATTTAAATAAACCAAAAAACCCCACTATAATTCACTCTAATAATTATAATTATTGATGTTAAAAAATGAAAGAAACTAAAAAATAGAGTCGAATTATTATTATTATTATTATTATTATTATTATGAAGTTTTAGGAGACTTCTTATTTTAATAAGTTAAAAGATGATGACATAGGTATTAGGTAGTGAAAAAAATGAGGTTTTTGTATGAATCCCACGAGTCTACACGAAACGGTTGGTCATCCTGACCCGAAGGCAGATAAGGTTCCACGTCATGTTTCCCAAATCCGACGCATCGTCCGGCGCGTTTACCCCCACGCGCTCTCCACCATTTTTCATTTTTTCTAATTACCATTTTATCTTCTTGTTCATCGTCATTTCAGATTATATATAATACTATAACATAACCTTTTGAAGATATCTGGAAATCTGTGTCAAGGATTTCACATGAATTCTGGTCAAAATCGAACCAACAGATGCCAAAGCTTCTGATGTTTCTATCGTCTGTGTTTTGAACATTGATTGCACCACAGAAGCAAGACAATTCTCCAGTTCAAATGATTTGGATGTCGAAATTTTGAAAAAATAACAAGGAAATTCAACAAAATCGTGTTGGATTTTATCCGATTGCCTCGATTTTAGCAAAATTCAGAGACTCTGTGTTTCGTTTTCTAGAGGTGTATTTATTGACTTTTGTTTCTTGTTCTTCGTCTTGGATAACAAATTATTATGGTTCTGGATCTAAACGATATGATGAGGAGAGAGCATCGGCAAGATCAACAATCTAGGGTTTTCTATGAGCTATCGGCTTTGATTTTGAACCTACTGCGGTATCCTCCTACGCCGATCCAATTCTCTGACGAGGTGTCCACGTCTTCCCGGAGGCAGCAGCCTCAACGGCCTCCGCTAACGCAGATAACGCCGGCCGGATTTGCATCCTTGCTATTGGGGATATCATTGTCTCTTATGCTGTGTGGATCCATAACCTTCTTCATAGGGTTCCTACTAATGCCTTGGGTGCTTGGCTTGGTTATGGTGTTTTATGTGGTTGGGATTGTTTCGAGTTTAGCGATGCTCGGTCGCGCCATTTTTTTTCATACTCTTTCTCCTAAGAAGGGCGTTCCTGGTATGACAATTACTTTTTGCATTAAGCTTCAGCATCTCCAATTTTTATGTGCTTAAGATCAGTAAACTTTACTAGAATCATGTTCTAGATACTCCAACATCATTTCATCCATGAAGTTAAGTATAGAATAGGCTATGACATGCTCATGGAGTTTCTGAAATTGGATATAATCTACACCTGTATGGATCATGTCTAACATCTATCGAAAATCATAGGATTTAATGAGTGAAATAATTTAGAGATTCGGTTCCATCATGCAGACTTTCGAAGTCCTAAGACGTTAATTTGGTTAGTGGTTACTCAGAAAGTGATGTCGTTCCTTTTATTGCTTGTATGTAGGTATTATTTTTTCTTTGGGATCAGAGCTTAATCCTATACCTTGGTGTTCTGTTTGGAAATGAATAGAAGTTTTTAGCTTATGGGATTGTGATTATTGAAGCAGTCGATGCTAATTAAATAATTCCTGATTCTGCCAACTGAGAATGTGTATTTGAATTTGTCATATAGATCTTAATACGATTAGTATTTCTAAGTTATGAATATGTTGGTGCATGAATTTAAGGATAACGTTTGTTGGAAGAAGTACTTGGGTCTAAAAGATTGCTTCCACGGCTCCACCTATTCTTAGCTTTTGCATTAATGGCAAATTTAGTTCCTGACAAGGAATTGCATTCATTTCTAATTAATCTTTCTCCGTCTCCTTTGAACACATAGCAACTCTGAACTTTGTAATACACGCTGTGTAAGCGTAGTATGTCGAAGGGTTGAGTTGGTGTTGATGAATGCATGAGTGCCCAGTTGCTTTACGAACATTGTATGATTTCAACTTTTTTTCTAACGGGTCAAAGTAATGGTGGGCCTTTTATTTCATTTGTTTTTTTTCTCCTCAGCTATTATATTGACAGTTAGAAGCATGTTGTAAATCTGTGGTGGAATTCTATGGTTTGGTTTTGATCACCTTCTTTTCTTTCAGTAGTCTGTTTGTTGATATCACACATGTTGTGGACTTTTGTATAGAAGGTACAGTTAGGAAGTGCCAATTTGGTTTCAAACCAGAATGATTTACTGGTTAAGTAGTTCCCTTGAGCTCAAGAAGTTTATATCAAGATAGAACAAATATTAGATTTTCCATGTAGTACATTGATTACTTCACTCTTCTTATATGTCCATTGCAAGAGGGAGGGGGCTGTGTACCTCTTTTCCTTTATGGTTTGTATGTTATTTATTTATCCAAATTCTATATATTTTGGGACTGCTTTATATTCATATTCCTTTTTATTCTATGACAAAATTAACAAGAAAGTAACCACTTTCTCACTTGCCATAAATAGTGTACATGCCTTTAACATCAGTCCACTACTGCGCTTTCAACTGGTTATCATATGTAGGATGAATAATATTGCAGCAAAGAATACTTGTACTGCCCCTCCAAAAAAAAGGAAAAAAGAAACCCTTTTCTCCATTGAGTTATTTGTTGATGGAATGATGTAGTGGGGCATCTGATGAGCTGTACTAATGGATAGAGAATAGATACTGCATAAGCTTGGTGAATTCTTAAATGTCATTTTCGTCATTGACTACATAAATGGTTGCTTCTGGCTTTTGCTGTCAGTAATTCCTTATTTTCTTTCTTGATACTTGAGGGTCATGAGTTGTTGGTCAGATTTTGTCTTATAGTTGGATGTGGTTTATTCCAATTGACGCCAGTTGAGCATTTTGATGGTGAACGGAATGCATGGGATGTGGGGCACGTTTCCGTTCCTTTGTCTTCATTAAGTGTCCAAAATCAAGTCTAGGCTCTTCTTACACCATATAAATGTGATGTGAGTTGGACCCACTAAACAAATTGGCAAAAAGGAAGGGAGCCTAAAAGTCATCATAATTTGGAGTTTGGACCCACTAATAAACTGGCAACAGAAAATTGAGCCTAATCCTATAAGGAAATAAGGGATATAAAGATATCTATGGTTATTTAGTTATTATTATGCAGAGCTTCTTCCATAAAAAATGGCTAGAAATGCTAAAGAAAAACACCAGTTTTCATCTTCTTATACACCCATTGCATAAATAGGGATGTTCCAATCTTTTTGGAGGTATTATTACACTTACAGCTTTTTAATACACTGTAAAATGAGATAACAAAGATACATACCTATATATATACAAATTGCAGAGGCGATGATTGATAAGGCGTATTACTTTTATCTTTTGATAGAAATTAGAGAGGCACTAAGGTGGGTTATAGTTTTACATTCGTTGATGGAAGGCCCTAAACATTGTAATTTTGGAGCCTTATTCAAAATTACATATTTAACATGCTAAAGAGCGGTCTTGTGCATAAATTACTGATTGTAGTTGAGAAAAAAACCCTTTTTGTAACCATCATTTCGAAATTCAAGGACTAATTCGTGCACCATCTTTCTATGAATTGACTTATGATTTGCTTCCTACTTGCAACAACCCCCTTATATAGATAGAAAAGTAGATTTTTGAGCTCCTTACGAGCTCAAAGTTATCTGCCTACCAATAACTTCCATAATAATTTTAAATTGGATTAGAAGTTATTAGGTCAGTCCGTTGCTTTGGGCTTGGTATGCTAGTAACTTCTCATTTAATTTATAATCCACGTTTATTTCCATATTATATTGAAAAGCTATGGAATTGTTGTCTGATGCTTTACGTTACTTCTTTTTCGTTGCAGCGTGGAAACTGTTGTGAACGACAGCTAGAGACCCATTGAACTACACATAGTACGTAAGTTGTTTCAACGAGGTGATGCTTTCTTGCCGCAAGAAAAAAAAAACAGTAGTGTTACTGAAGTTTCGAAATGTGGGAAAAAAGGTTGCTTATAAAGATATTACTGCAAACTGTGCATAAATGGATATCTGTTTAAGGTTTTCATGTAGAATTTTAGTAGAGCAAATGGAAAGCTTATTTTCCGTTTGTTCAAAGAAAGTGAAGGTGTCCTGGAAAACAAGTCTTTTCTTCACAATATGGATATGACCAAATTGTTTCTTTGGGTACCCTTTAAATACGTGTAATTCGCTCACTTCTTTTTCTTTTTGTGTTTTATATGGATTATTTCTTTTGTATAAAGCAGGTGCACTAATCAAGAAACTTATAGGCCAAGTGTTTGTTATATGGGTTTTGGTTTTGCTACTGAGAGTGCATTTTCAATGAATTTTTTAAAATGGAGAAAATTGATATCTTTTTATAGTTTTTTATTAGTTCTAATAAATTCTTTAAAACTTCAAAGGGTTTTTGGTCTAACAGTATTGTAGTCTTTACTCTTCTAAAAGGGTAAAGGTTTAAATCTCACAAAATGTAAGAAGGGTGTGTGAGTTTATTTATTTTATTTGTCAGTATATAAATATTTATATACTTCAAAAAAAATATATATATATATATATATATATATATATATTTCAAAAAAAAATCTTGATAAGAGAAGCTTAAAAATATATTATTCATTGATGAGTTAATTTTATTATCATTATATATAATAATATTTATTTGACATTTTATTGGCTATCAAATTTATTAAACGATGTAAAGTTAAACGATGAATATTATTTTTTATTGTTTCATTGATGAGTTAATTTTATTATCATTATATATAATAATATTTATTTGACATTTTATTGGCTATCAAATTTATTAAATATTTAATTTATGAAAATTGAATGCAATGTTTTTGCAGATTCCGGTCTTCATTTTAGTTTTTGAAGAATATAGAATTGTTATGAGAAAAAATTAAAATGAATAAAAATAAAATGGTATGAGTGATTTAAAAACTGATTTTTTATTTTGATAATTATTGAAATTAATTGTTTAATAGAGAAAAATAATTATTTATACTAAAATTATAAAAAAATTTAAAATAGAAAAAACTTTTAGAATTGAATGTAATTTTTTTTTTTTGAAAATTTTAAATTTTAATTTTATATTTTTTTTTAGAGAATGTATTTGAGGTTGTTTATTTAAAATAATTTATTTTTTTATAAATTTTTTTATTAATTTATTATAAATTAGAAAGATTTAATTTATTTAAAAAAATTTATTTAATTTAATTTAATATTAATATAGACTGTTTAATAAAATAATCAGAAGTGTTTATTATCAATACCAAGAAATCCATAAGTTATTTTTATAATCACACCATAACACCCCCTATATAGATAAAGAAGGCTAAAATCATTCACAGTTTACCAAAATTACAACCATAATCATCATAATATTTCTTCTATCAAATCAACAATTCAACATAATTCACAACAAAAAACCAGAAATCGAAAGAACAAATTGAACAACAAATTTGAACAGAAAACTAAGTATTGAACAACAAATTCGAACAGAAAACTAAGTGTTTTATGATTGTGGGTAGACAGGTAGCTATCCGGTGTAGATATGAACGCCGATGGCGATAAGGAAGATCGTAACGAGACCGAAGTAGATGACGGTGTGAACAAGTATCGAGAGTCCACTTGTTTGCATATTTCCGAACTCCACCACTCTGTTCCGCCCTGGAATCTGCAACAACAATCCCGGCGACAATAATACGAACAACACCACCGCTATAACTACCGGTCCCCAATCCGCCATTTATGATGAATCTCTAGATCTCGATCTGCTTCCAATTAACAGTATGTGATCTGATATGAGATTTTTCTATGTGCATGATTATATAGCCATTGATGATGAATTAAATTAATGGGTAGGAAGAAGGTTTAGGAGACGCAAAGAATAAAAGATTGTGTATGTGTGATGAAGATGGTAAAGCAAAAGTAGGCACGTGGCGGGAGCTTACGTCGCTCATTCACCGACTTCTTTATCCCTCTTGTGCCGTCCAAATCCTTCGTCACTCAAAATTCATGAAAAATATTTTATTTATTTAGACAAAAAATCACAACCCAAAATTTCATATGGAATTCGTCTTTAAAGACATCAACTAAACCACACGTCAAAGACAAAAAAAATGAAAGAAGAGTCAATTTTGGTCTATGTGGTATGTTGTAAATAATACCTTTTGTCTTTGTAGTTTCGAAATTACAAGATGGTCATGAGATTTGTAAAAACGTCTGAATTTGATCTCTTCGTCTAACGATTGATAAAAGTTTCCCAAGATAATTTTCGTCTTTTTATCAATCTCTTAGTTTTTTACCCAAACAAAAACGATTTTATGATTTTGGTTCTTGTGGTTTTTGATTTGATAAATAACAAAAAGACGATAAAAAGACGAAAATGCCCCCTATTTAGAGAAAAATTTTCATAACTGTTAGAGGTAGAAACTAAATTCAAGCATTTTCACAAACCCGGATTATAATTTCAAAACTGTAAAGGGTATTATTACAAAACCACATAGACCAAATATGTAATTTAAAATTTAAAGATTCAAGAATTGTGTGTTTATATGATTTTTTGGATGATACGCTTTTTAATTTTTAAAAACCTACCAAATCCGAAGATGGGCTTATTTCGTCAGCCCATGGGCCTAATATTGTATATTCATCAGCCCAATCATTGTTTGGAGTATTTTTATGAAAAGATCACACCAAGTTGATTACCGTAAATCTCAAACTGGCCTCACACAAAGCCTGTCCCTTAAGGGCCACATGTGAGGAGCCATTTCGTGAGCTGACTTGGCGGCTAAGGCAAGCAGAGGAATTCAAACCTACATCCTGTGGGATTTGAACCTTAATTTGTTTTGTATTTGAATAGTGTCATCATGTCCTTTTGCTGACCAGATACACAGAAGACCAATCATTTTAAAAAGAGAAAATTGTTTGGTTCAAAAAGCTCATTGATTAGGGAGACTCATAGGTGTTGGTACTTGATACTGATGATCAAAAGAATTACGACAAAACAGATAAGATATTAGGTTTAAGTGACAAAATGGACTTGGAAAACTACAATAGACAAAATGGAGTCATTGTGATTTATAGATCAATGTAATTATATTAAGTTATTAATTATTTGTCATATATATATATATATATATATATATATCGGTGAAAATAAGAGTTAAAATGAGAAGCGTAAGAAGTGATCTCCACTATTGGATACACATTAGGATGAGATGCACCGCGATGCGCCAGATCAATCCCGTATTAAGCACGATTAATGAGTGGGTTTGAGATTAAATGTGATCAAGGGTCCAGATCTTTTCTTACGTTTATTACTTTAACTCTTATTCTCACACGATTCTTCATTTATCAACTTATAGTTCATCTTTAAAAAAGATAAACATGACTTACATGTCTTTATTTGGCATATATATATATATATATATATATATATATATATATATATATATCAACTTAGAGTTCATCTATAAACAAGATAAATGTGACGTACATGTTCTATATGGCATCTATATATCTCAGCTTAGACTTCATCTAACCAAAGGCATACACGATGCAATCAAGGTTCGTACCAAGTATATACATATGGTAAACAAAAAGATTGATCTTGATTCAGATAACGTCTTGTGAGCTGTTGACTTTTGACTTAATAGACATAATGATATATAAAGTTTATTTGTTCATCCACACATGGTCTTTTTGTATGGCTTAGTCATTTAAATCTCAATTTGGCTTAATTGACTCAAGCCTCCCCCTTCCTTAATGATTAAGTCATTTTATACCAAAAACATCATTTGCCCTAAACACTCACTTTTGTTACATGATTTTGGTTTTGTCTGTTTTTATGTTAGGGGATTAAAATGGGATCTTTTTTAATTCAAATTTCGACACAAAATAAACACCAAATTTGTCAATCTAGACTCTTGCTTGATATATATATAACATACAAGGGAAAAAATAATCTAGGAATTCAGATAAATGCCTTAATTTATACAGAGAAATAAAAAACCAAAATTCTATCAAACCCTTGTATTTCTTTAAGGATATAATTTCGTAACCGTATTAATGATTTTCTTAAAATGTCAAACAAGATAAATACCAAGTAATTGTAAAGTGACTCCTTTTTATGCCATGAACACTCGTAATGGGAAGTGATTCATCTCAAAAGCAAGCAATAATTCATGATCTCACCAAGTAATTACTCATGTAAAGTTGCCCTCCTAAGGAAATAAATTATATTCAGGGTTGTTTGTTTATTTTTTAATAGTTTTATTAGGAGAAAGTTTTTGAATTGTTAAGAGATGAATCTTGTTTGACAAAGGAAAAAAAATATGTCTCTTAATGGTTCTAATATCCTCTGAATAATTTTGTATCTTGGGCATCCCTTAACCATTAAGCGCCCTAATTTCATTATAAACAATTACCAAACAAATGTATTTCATTTTGTACTATATCATGAGAGCCTCTTAATCATTCTGACCACTTAATCATTCGGCATCAAACCATTCGGCAACTGTCAAACTGTCCCTTGTATTACATGTAACTAATTAATTATATATTTTTAGAAGATATAAGAAATAGACAAAACTTGAAAAAAAAACCCATATAAATAGATTTCAGAGAATGTTTAAATGTGTAAACATAAGGCGATGACGGTATGTAAATTCATATTCATCCGTTGTGGTTTTAGTCAAATTTCATTGTTTCGAGGGATATTTTAAGTTTTTTGTTGTTATTGATTTTAATAGACTTTTGATTTGCCGTAAAAGATTTAATGCGAAGTTATATGCAATATTCATTTAAAAATCATTACATTTTTCTATGATTTTCATGTTTTGGTCTAGATTGCATCGACTAACCCTTGGATAATCACGAATGAGCTGAAGTCATTGCAGGTGAACTTCAATATCCACAAGAGCATTGACGGCAACATCTAGATTCGAACCCAGGGAAGATGAGTGTTTGCACTACATTTCCCTTAGGTTTAATTAGTGCCCCACAACACAAAATATTCTTGTTATAACATTTACATCAAAACACATAATATTTTAAGAATTCAAATTTTTTTATATCCATTAATAACTTACAATTACTGTTTTATGAGTTTTATCTTTGAAAAACGAGACAAGAATCCCAGATGTTTAAAAATATAATATAGATATTTGAAATCCAACACCACCAGTCATATGGATTACAAGTCGAAACAACCAAATAAACATATTTAAAGCGACAATTTTCAAGGTATAAATAGGTTTACAAACCATAAATTAAACCTCAAAGTTAGGATTTAGGAATACAACGAACAACGAATTTAACCAAGATAAAGATGGATTCTAACGGCGAATGAGAAGAGGCAAATGATAGCAAAGTAGATCAATGTATGAACCATTATGGCGACGCCACTAGTCTGAAAACAACAAAATTCCACACACCGACCTCGTCCTGGCAACTGAAACAGCAACCCTGGCGATAACAACGCAAACAACAGAACTGACACAAAAATTGGGCCCCAATCCGACATCTCGCTCAAAATTATGATTATTGATTGTCTATTTTCCGACAACGGTGGTGGTGGTGGTGGTGGTGGTGGTGGTGGTGATGGTGCATGAGAGAGTGAGAATTATGTGGGGGATATATATACATGCAAAACGTGGGAGGGAAACTTGGGTGAGAAGCAAAAAAAGGTGTTTAGTGGACCAAGTCACTGAGTCGCATACAAAGGGCTTTTTTTCTTTTAATATGCATGGAAATCAATAAATCATCCATATGATTGGTTTTATTTGGTCTAAATACATCTGAAAGATATACTCCAATTCTATAAAGTTAGATGGATCGAACTTTCGATATCATGATGATGATGAACAACATCATGTCGACTTGTTTTTTTATATAAAGCTAAAATTTAATTAATTTTATAATCATATATGTTGAGATAATAGTTATAGACACTATGATATAACAAGATATAAAGCTCTATTATAAAATAAGTTATGATTTGAGGAAAAAGAAATTACAATAATTTGTAATTTTATAAATATAGGATTAGGTTCACGTGAACAAGTCTGTTTTCATGAAACACGATTTTTACGCTTGAAACTTCACAGCAAAAACACTGTGAAGTTTTAAGTGTAAAAATCGTATCTTATGAAAATAGTCTTATCTCACATGATCTCAAGTGTATATATATATATATATATATATATATATATATATATATATATATATATATATATA